TGATCTCACATTGAAAGTACTTTGTGGTTGGGTAAATAGCTATTTAACATTTGAAATTGTGGGTCTCATGCACATAAAATGCACATTTACCCATAAAGGGGTTGGAGGGGTCACATTAGGGTTCTAAATATAACTTCCTTTCACAATTTTGCCTACAGTCAGCCTTAAATTAAATTAAATGTTCAACGTTCACTTCTCTGTTAGATCTTCCGCATTCTCACCTCAGCTGATGATCATGCTTTCTATTTTACCAAAGAAATTTAAGCAGTCAGGGGAAAAATTCTCCAGACTCCCACCACCATGTCTTCCTGCATCTATGCCTTTGTATTCTGCCTTTCCCTTTGAGATGAACTGAGCATGCCTACGGGTCAGTTCAAATTCTTCCAAGTGCCCCAGATTCTGTCCCCTCTTGCCTACTGAAAGACATTGCCAGCAGTTCTACCCTCTTTCTCTAGATCATCAACATTCTCTTTACTATTGGATATTCTGTATTAGAAGCTGTCACTTCTTCCATCTATAAGAGAACCCTCTTTTGACTCACTTGTGCCTCTAGCTACTGCCCTAATAGGTTGTTTGTACCTATTGTTTTGGATTTATTTTGTGAAATTTTCTTTGGAACCTACTAGGTAAGTCTTTTGCCCTAAGCCCCTACCACAACTTTTCTTGTCAGGGTCACCTATGATCTCATATTGATTAGTTCCTTTGTCTTGGAAATTTTTCTTTCTTGGCTTCAGGATACCATTCTCACCTGCTTGACCTCTGGCTGTTGCTGTATTTTCCTTTGCTCATATCTCTCCATCTCCAAAATCATAAGCATCCTGTGCCTCAAGGGTTGGTTCCTGGAGATAGTTCTCTCTTTGCCTAGCGGGCACTCTCTCTTTCTTTCCTGCTCGCTCTGTCATCAATACTCTTGATGAACTTGTCTTACCTCATGTCTTTAAATACCCTATACATGCTAATGTCTTCCAATATTTCTTTCTCCATTCTGTTCTCTCTCCTGAGCTCTAGGTACATATATTCGACTGCCTACTGACATCTATCCTTGGATGTCTAGAAGCTTCTCAAAATTAACTTGTCCCAAACTAAGCTCCTGCTCTGTTAAGCCACCCCCACTCCCTCCCAAACCTATTTCACTGCAGCTCCATTTTCTCTATTTCCTCTGGCCAAAACTCATGAAGTTCATCCATTCCCCCTTTTCCTTCTCCTACACGCCACATTAGATCCTCAAGAAATCATCTTGACTATGCCTTTAAAATTAAATCCAAAAGTCTATAGCTTCTTACCCCTTCCCTTGCTGTTGCTCTGTCTGAACCACTGTTGGCTCACCCTGGATGAGCACAGTAGGCTCCTGCCCCATCACCTATGCCATCTATTCTCCACACAACAGCCGAAAGGACCCTTTGAACATATAACTCTTAGGCTTTCTGTCTAAGAGTAAAAGCCAAAGTTCTTTCAAGGTACTGCATGATTTTGATGCTCCTTGTTT